GCCGTTGAAACTCGTCCATGCATACACACGAGACAACCTTTCGCCCTTTTTACTCCCTTCTTAGGCCGTTTTACGACCAGACAGCGCCACGTTTACGAAGGAGCCACAGATTTCCCCCAGGAGAGTATATCAAAAGCCATTTTGTCGTGAACTAAGCCTTCAACTAACTTCAAGTGATTGAACATATGGTTGCCTCGGGTGGGTATCGACTCGGAATTCGATCTCCGAGTCATTCGTGCGTCAGTGAACCACTTGGCAATACACACTTTTACCCAACTACCATAAGCAACAATAGTGTCTGAAATGATGTTAGAACGTGATTAAACGAAGCTGAAGGACTATGAAGTCTTGGGCGCTGATGTAGACTCTCCTTATTTCTTTTTATATACGAAGCCAATTTTGAAATTAATCTGGGAATTCAACCAGCACGAGAACAAATCGGAAACCTGACCGCTTGAGAGTTCAGCCCAAGTTCAAGCACATATTCTGCTTTTTTTATGATGTATTTTCAATTGAAGCTATGTTCGTCCTTCTAGAAGCCACGTCTACTAATGTTCTTCAAATCGTAAATGTCGAACTCTTCTCCTCAAAAATCTTCTGTAGCCCTGTACTGCCACTATTAATGGTAGCCGAGACAACCTAGCAGAGTACAGGTGCCACTGAGCGGGTGTCTGGAGGGTTTTGTCATTAGCTGTCCTGCTTTTGTCTAGCTAACTAGATGACTGAAACAGAATTTACTGCTCATTTAACAGGAATAGCCACAAAACAAGCTGTATCCCCTATATTTTCGTTGCAAGCTTTTGTCGAGAAAACAAATTTCTGGCGATGATAAATCGGTTTTCAAATCCACCCATTCATTTATCATCCATCCGAGTTGCGAAAGCGTTTGGTGCTCATTTTTTCTAGACAATAAGTTGCGGTGGCTGGCTGATGTAGAAGTCAGAGCTTCTACCATCCCAAAAGGCTTTGGTCAAAAGTAATCTCGCGCGCAAGAAAGGAGGGCCTGGCTGCCTTGGACAAGTACTGTAGGGTTTTGAACCTGGCACCTTACTCGTGAAATCTCCCACTTGGCGCTGTCTCACTGCTTTCCCATCTCTCCAAAGTTTAATTAACTATCCCTCAGTGGCAATAAATTGGCGGACTGCCAATTTCTACTCATTGCCAATTTTTTTCGAATACCCTTTTCCGCTTAACATGAATTTTTCCCCAGATTCAACCCCTCAGCCTGAAGTTGGACTG